CCTTCTCCTTCTTCTTCGTTCTTCTTCCTTCTCCTTCTTCTTCTTCTTCTTCTTCTTCTTCTTGCTATTGTTGTTCTTGTTGGTGTTGTGCAGGTAGATAGCGTGGAGCACGGCTATGGCGCATAGGTTGTTGTGGTTCTGGTAGTTGTTGTGGTTGTTGCTGTTGTTGTTGTTGTTGTGCAGGTCGACAGCGTGGATCACGGCTATGGTGCCCAGGTAAGTGACGCAGGTATGGCCTCCGCCCCTCTTCTTCTTCTTCTTCTTCTTCTTCTTCTTCTTCTTCTTGTGGTTGTTGCTCTTGTTTTGTTGTTGGTGTTGTGCAGGTCGACAGCGTGGAGCACTGCTATGGCGCCCAGGTGGTTGTGGTTCTGGTTGTTGTTGTGGTTGTTGTGGTTGTTGCTGTTGTTGTTGTTGTTGTGCAGGTCGACAACGTGGATCACGGCTATGGCGCCCAAGTAAGTAACGCAGGTATGGCCTCCGCCCCTCTTCTTCTTCTTCTTCTTCTTCTTGTTCTCCTTCTTCTCCTTCTTCTCCTTCTTCTTCTTCTTCTTCTTCTTCTTCTTCTTCTTCTTCTCCTTCTTATTCCTTCTTCTTCCTTCTTCTTCCTTCTTCTTCTTCTTCTACTTCTTCTTCTTCCTCTGTTTCTTCTTCTTGTAGCTGTTTTTGTTTTTGTTGGTGTTGTGCACGTCGACAGCGTGGACCACGGCTATAGCGCCTAGGTCGTTGGGGTTCTGGTCGTTGTTGTGCCTGTTGCTGTTGTTGTTGTTGTTGTGCTGGTCGACAGCGTGGATCACGGTTATGGCGCCTAGGTAAGTGACACAGGTATGGCCTTCGCCCCTCTTCTTCTTCTTCTTCTTCTTCTTCTTCTTCTCCTACTTCTTCTTCTTCTTCTTCTCCTTGTGGTTGTTGTTGTTGTTGTTCTTGTTGGTTTTGTGCAAGTCGACAGCGTGGAGCACGGCTATGGCGCCCAGGTGGTTGTGGTTCTGGTTGTTGTTGTGGTTGTTGCTGTTGTCATTGTTGTTGTGCAGGTCGACAGCGTGGATCAAGGCTATGGCGCCCAGGTAAGTGACGCAGGTATGTTCTCCGCCCCTCTTCTTCTTCTTCTTCTTCTTCTTCTTCTTCTTCTTCTTCTTCTGCTTCTTGTGGTTCTGGTTCCGGTTGTTGTCGTGGTTGTTGTCGTGGTTGTTGTTGTTGTTGTTCTTTTTGGTGTTGTGCAGGTCGACAGCGTAGAGCACGGCTATGGCGCCCAGGTGGTTGTGGTTCTGGTTGTTGTTGTGGTTGTTGCTGTTGTTGTTGTTGTTGTGCAGGTCGAGCGCGTGGATCACGGCTAAGGCGCCCAGGTAAGTGACGCAGGTATGGCCTCCGCCCCTCTTCTTCTTCTTCTTCTTCTTCTTCTTCTTCTTCTTCTTCTTTTCTTCTTCTTCTACCTTCTTCGTCTTCTTCTTCTTCTTCTTCTTCTTCTCCTTCTTCTTCTTCTTCCTTCAACAGCGTGGATCACGACTATGGCGCCCACGTAAGTGACGCAGGTATAGCCTCTGCCCTTCTTCTTCTTCTTCTTCTTCTTGTGGTTGTGGTTCTGGTTGTTGTTGTGGTTGTTGYTGTTGTTGTTGTTGTGCAGGTCGACAGCGTGGAGCACGGCYATGGCGCCTAGGTGGTTGTGGTTCTGGTTGTTGTTGTGGTTGTTGCTGTTGTTGTTGTTGTT